CCCTAAAAATTTTAAAATTGTTGGCCCCCCACCCCCAAAATTCCCCCACCCGGCTTTGTGGGTGGGGGAATTCTGGGAGTTGAAGTCCACACATCTTAAAGTTGTTAAGGTTGAGAAACACTGGCTTATATCATAGTAAACTACCAGGAGAATGAAGAAAAGAGGTGGCATTTTACTATGTGGTGACAGTCTGAGAGGACACACGGTGTGACTTACTATTACTAGCTGAGTGTTCTAATATTTCGAAAATCTTGCAGATTTTCTGTCTAATTCTTTGTCTCCTATGTGAGTAAGTAACTTTTTTCATTCTTCTGTTTTAATTCCATGCTGCTTGATACCTTTCTAGAAGCCTTTCCAGATCCCTAATAAACTGTTTGTTAAAGTCACCCACCGGAGATTAGCGCTAAAGCTTAAACATGTGCAAGGGGTTGCTTCAGCCTTTCCGAAACGAAGGCGGAAGGCAAATGAGATGAAGGCTGTGGACAGAAGTACGATCGAGCGTGGCTAACAGTTGTGCTACGTTTAATCCTGCACTTCTTCACTAAAAATTTCAGAGGATGCAAGCTTTAAGCAGTCAGATAGCTACCTGAGCATCTGAACGGTGTTCCCAGCCGACGTCAGACTTCACCACACTTGCAGGCCCAGGCTGCCTCGCAAGTTAGCCTTCAGCAAAAAAACCCACACAAACTCTGCTACTTTTGCACACTAAATTCACATTGTTGGGAGCGTCTTTAGCACGTTCGGTAGCATGTTGCTTATTTTAACAAACGAAACCTCTCAGAACGTTTAGTAAATGCTTTTTCCTGGTATCGTGTGCGATGCAGAATTGGAAACTGACATGCTGAGCTGCAAATAATTCAGACTGAAAGCAGGAGCCTTGAACGGGGCTGTCCATTTCATATTAATATCTTCTTTAGTTCTACTTTTATGTTCTCCTTCCATCCATTTTATCTGGACTTTTCAAGGAATGCTCATTTACTTTTTCAGCCTGTGGTTCTGTGTCTGTGTGTGTGTGTGTGTGTGTGATCAGTAAACAGAAAAACTGGATATTGTTATTACTATTATTATTATTAGTTCACGATTGCCTTTCTGCACCAATGCATACGGGTAGTCCTCGTTTAGTGACTGTTTGCAGTTACGACAGTGACGAAAAAGCAACTTTGCGACCAATCCTTGCATTTACGACCTCTGCAGGTTGGTAAAGCAAAGGAAAGGTGAAGGAAGATTGTAAGCACAGTCACAGTTTCGCTTAGCAACCGCTTTGCTTAATGACCGAGTTGCCAGTTCCAATTGCGGTCACTAAACAAGGACGACCTGTACTCAAGACTGCTTTATTCTTAAGGCTGCTGGTTCATAAAGGGCAGAATTGCTAAATCCTTCCCCTTACCACAAATAACTCCACGGTGTGATCCTTGTGGACCGCATGTCCACTGGAGCTTTGGGAAGTCTCCAAAATTGGATTCATGAGAAGACACGATGGCCACGTGCTAGTCCCAGACTTGTGTTCTGGTCAATTCACACAATGACTTAACCCCAGATCACACTTGCTCAGCCCATCTCGCTCGCTTATGCGTGCGCAGGTGCTCTGCTCCTGCAAACGTGCAACAGGTATGGCAGGTGCTGCATTACTGTCCTTCTCCACTGTGGGGCATACGTGAGCACTGCAGCCTACCAAGCAGGACCACTCTGTGTGCTTCTGCCAACCCAGCCATGTCTCTCTAGTTCAGGGTTTCTCAACCTTGGCAACTTTAAGAGGTGTGGACTTCAACTCCCAGAATTCCCCA